TTTTGATATTAATTCGGTCTTTGCAGATCCAAATAACATCCCTAACAAAATTAATCATGCCACACATATCAGATATCGAATATCAAATATCGACGAACATTTGTGCGTGTGTGTGTGCGTGCGTTTGTGAATTTGCTTCTGCAAAAAGCATATGCAGTGCATTTCATTTGATACACACAATTCATTCTCTCCGGCAGTCCGCTAATCCCAACATAATACATGCTGTAGGCATCATTTTGGCGTAAGTCGATTTTTGCACTCTCGCAAACAATGCCTCATGTTCATCCAAGCGTGAACACATACCACACAAAATGATACCAAATGATTTGGGATAAAACACTCTTTCATAAGATGTATAATAATTTACTGTTCATGTATTATTTGTTTAATAATTAGAAATTTTCTAGGTGTAAACTTTTTTTTTTGACTTACACGGTATACACAAGTTATGCATATTTAAAATAAGCATGGTAAGAATATGCTTTTATCAACAACAATCAATAATTCATGAACACAGATAAATGAATGCATAATGGATTATCTGCCCTTGAAGTAATAGTACCAGTAGATTTTCATATTGCGTAACCTGTTTAGCACAAGGCTTATCGGAAATAAGGGCTATACAAATGAAATAAATATTAAAATGTACCTGTAAATTAGATCTGTTACATGAACCCAAAACACCTCATACACAATTATTATGAAGACAAGCTACGGTAGGAAAGAATAGGTCTGTGAATGTTATCAAAGTATTTATTGAAATGGTCAATTTTGTAAAAGAACCATGTTATGAAGGAAAAAGAACCTCACTACATTTACTTAAACACTTCTTTTCTTTCTCATTGGAATCGCTGCTTCTGACCACTGTATAATACCTCAGTTAAATTAGGTGCATGCTTAAATTCAAGGAAGGAGGAGAGAGAGTGAGTGAGTTTATAAATTGTGTTTATAGAACATATAAGACAGCAATTTGTAATTTGCAGCAATATACAAATAAATAAGTCACACTGGTGGTACCATTAGGGGTCTATGAATGTTATTAATGTTTCAGGTAATTAGTCCACGGATCCAGCTCAAGGGATGAGCTTGCATCAACAGTTGTTAGAATTCAGTCTTCATCTAGGTTTGAAATCCTCATATAATTTGTATGCAAACTATGTAACTATTTATTTATTTATTGAAATATATTTATTCAGGATAACAAGAATCAGATATACATTGTAGATACAACATCTGTTTTACATCATGGTCCTGAACAGGATAAAAAAGTAGTACACGGAAATATAAATAATGAATATCACCAAAGCCTACAAGCAAAGGTAAGAACGGTATATAACTAACATATACGAATAATACGCATTAAAAGTAGTAAAAAGCACAAAACAAAAAGCAAAAACGACAATGTAATAATTTAAATTAACAGCGGAAAAAAACATCAAATGACTTTAATAAAAGGCATTAAAATATCACCAAAAAATTAGAAGAGGAGAAATGATGTAAGGAAATCGGTACAAAGTAAAGGAGGAAAGAGAGAAAGAAAGAAAGAGGGAAGAGAGAAATGGAGAGAGAGAGAGAGAGAGAGAGAGAAATAAGCCATGTCAAAGCAGTAAATGAATCGGCATTGTATCACACAGGTTTAAACAATTTGTCCTTGTACATACGTTTAAAAACATCGATAGATTTAGCATTTTGAAAAGCGGAAGGTAAACTATTCCAGATTTTACCACCAGCGTATCTAAAACAATTCTTAAAACATTCAAGATTAGGCTTCTAAGGTAAAACAACATTCAGCGTATTGGCAAGTCTAGTGTTAAAACCATGTCTGTCAAAAACCATTTCCACTTCATTGCATAATCGTACTGGGGCTTTTCCATGAATACAGTTGTACATTATACATTATAAAAAATAGTGCCGTCTAGTATCAATGGATTGCCATTTTAATGAATTTATTATATTCAAGCTATTTACATCATAATCAAAGTTCCCTATGACAATACGTGCAGCTCTTTTTTGTAAAACTCTTTTTTGTAACTGATAAATAAATATAAGAGAACGAGAGGTATGCAGAGAAGACCACTGACGTACGGTTGGATCAGGGCTTGCAGGGCTGCAGTCCGCTTAAAGTTTTCCAGAGACCATAATTTCAATGATGTATGTATGTATGTAATATGTATGTAATGTGTGCATGAATTTATGTATGTAATGATTGTATGTATGTAATGTACGTATATGTTTGTATGTAGGCAAACCTAGGGGTCAGTTTGGAAACCCTTTCTTTGTTTCAAAGACACGTTGAAGAGGCAGCTGACTATTAAAGGTTTCCCCTGACTCACTTGAGAAAGCGACATTTGTCACACAGAAAGGAGGCGACTGGTTAGACAGAGCTGCCAAGCACGTTGCAGCAATCTTCTGTCGTATATAAATACATTTATGGACAAACCTCATGCTTGCAATGTAATGACGGTCAGTTGAGCATATTTTAATACCTTTTTTAGTACCTTTTTTTTGGATCTATGTGATGAAGTTAATGCAATCGAGATTAGAATATGCTTTTTTTGGTGGACAGTTGCTAAAGTCGATTTTGATTTATCATTATTGATTTACCAATAGAAGCCATTGGACTGGCAGGTTGCTAATTGGCGTTGGGTCCAGGGGCGGAGCCCCCATCAGCTCAGGGATTTTTAGGCAATAAATAACAGTCGCATACTTTCAGTAGACGCAGTAGACGCAGAAAGTATGCTTTTTACGCAATCCTACGCTACTGTATGTAATGCCTACGCAATAGTACGCTACCCTTCGTCAGTCCAAGAAGTAACCGATCAAGCAGTAAAAGCGTATAAAGGCGACCTAGATCCTACCTGCGTTCCCTTAACGCCTGGCCTATGTAAACGTACGCAACCCTACGCCTGTTATACGCAATCGTACGCGTAAGTACGTCAAATGCATAGGCCGAAGGTACGTGGTGCCTATGCACAGGATACGTAATCATACGCCATCGTACGCCAGCATACGCATACCCTACGCAGGGACTACGCCGAAGCAACATTTGTTCATGAATACGCAGCCTAATAACACTACGCAACTATACGCAGAAAGGGTGTGAAAGGGTCTTTAAGTCGTCAGCCTGCGCAAACTGCGCTTACTTATGCACAGACAAACTCCAGTATGCAAATGCTGACGAAGCACGGATTTGCTTTCTTATTCTATCTGGTCCTCTTGCTCATGCCTTTCGATTCTCCCAGCGAAATTCTTTGTTTTCCCCTCTAAAGCCCCGTCCACACCACCCGTTGAGGATGTGAATTCGGGGAGAAAACACGCGAAATCCTCATTCAGGGTGTATTTTAGATTCAGAAGTCATTTAGGGGTTATCTGGAAAACCATGTGGTCACGCATGCTTACAATATTTGTACATGACTGAGACCCCTGGGCTGGGAGCAGGCATGCGCAAGATTTGATGCACGCTGACGATGGTCTAGTACCTAATTTATACTACGAATCTCGCTCAACAAGCCTAGCTTTTCTGAGATTCACTTTTTTCCCCCTCTCAGTTAAATCAAGCTATAGAAACTATTTTGTTTCATAGATGTGTTCTATGTTCGCTAGACCTTTATCAGTGGGGGGGGGGGGGGGGGGGTGTAGAGGCCACCGATTATCGACAAAATTAGCCAGTGGCGGATCCAGGGGGGGGGGGGGGCCGGGGGGCCCGGCCCCCCCCTTGAGAAAAAAAATCATGTAAAATCACGTGATTTTTAACTTTTTTGGGGGTTGGGCCCCCTCAAGGGGGGGGGGGTGCAAATTGAATTTTTTTTTGAGGATCAAAAAAAAAAAATGTGCTCACTACCCCCCCCCCCCCCCCCCCCTCACTGAGCGAATTTTCGGCCGGCGCGTTACTCACATTTTCGGGAGCAAAAAAAAAAAAAAATTGTGCTCTGTCCCCCCCCCCCCCCCCCCCCCCCCCCCCCCCAACTGAGCGACTTTTCGGCCGGCGCGATTTTCAAATTTTCGGGAGCAAAAAAAAAAAAAAGTTGGGCCCCCTCCCCTAAGAAATTCGGGAACCGCGCCTGAAATTAGCCATCAGTTACCGACAAATATATTTATGCCAATGTACCAATGTATCCATCCATCAGTCCACCCATCCATCCATCCATCCGTCCATCCATCCATCGATTCAACCAGCCAGCCAGCCAGCCAGCCATTTCACAGACTAACTATAGATCTGTAATTCTGATATCAAGCTAATCTGATCAACAGTATTTGTTTAACCAATCAACAAGTACCAGTCATTCGTCCATGGGTTTGGGCATGCATAGGCCCAGTGTGTGTTTTATTATATACTGAATTTAAAGGCACAATATTGATACCAGTGAATTACTTTCATATTGTTACTCGTTACTTGATTGGTTCTTGTCAATTTGTAATAAGTTAAATTCCATCATTGTACACATATCACCACGTAAAATACCCGCTGAAATTAGATAATATGATAAATATATATAAATGTAAATATATCAAGATGTTTGAATAACAGAACATGAGATGTATGCAACCCTGCACATCAATTTATCAATTTATATTTGGATTTCACCCGACCTTTAACGATACGCTGAATGTATGCATGTGGGTGTATGTAAGAAGGTTCAATGTTCATGAAAACATGTGCCAACAACTTCGAAAATTAAAGGGACTAATGCATCTTGCCAGCTTTCTAAAGTGTAAGTCACACTTTCTTATTGTAAAAATGTTACTTTGACATCAGAATACACGATCATAAGATCAAAATTACACATTCAGGCATTTCGCTGCCCGAATATTGGTAATTTTATATTTGTTTAGGCTGCAGCCCCTATCCCTAAGCCTCGTGTGCCAATGACTACATTGACGGGATACGCATTTTCTTTATGGAGGATTATTGTATGTTGATTGTTTAGATCGATAAGGATGAATGATATATCATTTCAGTACAATTACATGTATTTATTATCTCATTTCAATTCCTATAGATGCAGTTGTTACCAACTGGCTGACTCTTACAACAACAAGTTACGTCCAAATGTCGGAGGTAATTATGCATACAACTGATATTCCATTTTGCAACTACACTACAATTACAAAAGCTCAGTTACTTAATGAGCAACGTTTTCCATAGGGCTAAGCCCAACGTGTTTTAAAAATGTCCTCAACTCCAATAACGTACTCATATGTATAAACGCATATCCTTTGAGTAAGTGGTTTGGGATTGAGGGGGCGGTAACGAATTGAATGTTTCGCTTCGGTTTTTTTATAGGTGAAATTCAAAGAAGATTACAAATATGTCAACTAATGTATCACTAGAAACTGGTAAGCTAACAGATGGCCATCGAACAAGTTTTAGGTCAACTACATATCGGGTGATTTATACAAATACAAATACAACCACCTCCATAGCAGCTGGGATATACGAGAGATTCGCCGGAAAAATAACGATGTTTTAATGACGTCACTATATGGACCAACACTGCCCAAGCAGACGACATCCCATAGAGAATGAACATAATTGCAAAGCTATTACTTCTCAAATTATAATGAGTTTTGTGTACATAAATGTAATGGCATGTCAAACCATTCAAAAGGGGATATGACCCGATTCTGATAACTAAAATCTTTTGCTTGTAAATACACAGGATAGGGGTTAATTAACAATCAAAGAAACCAGACTTTTAAATTGAAAATCCCCGAAATGATATTAAGGACGGCATTTGTTCCCTCTTGAAACGCCGAACATACCCCGACGTGTGCAGCTGAATATACAATGGCGCCTTATTTTGTTTACAAGCGACAGATTCCTTTATTTTTGTATCGCTGCATTTGTCATCAAAATAAAACAATGCGCGGGGTTTAGAGTGAGGCAATAGATTTTACATTTAGCCTGACGGTAGTGAAGTAAGAGAAAGAACTCAAGAAAAGATGAAAATACAGGCACTGAAAATGTGTGAGATGTCATGGGACATCGTCTGCTTGTGCAAGTTATGTCCATACTGTGATCTCACACATCTCAGCAGCGCTCGGAGAGCTCTTCAGGTGCTATGCCGGGGCTGTATTTAAGCGTTTTTTAATTTATAATAATCATTACTTCGAATGTTTCCAAGCATTTAATTTTGATAATCTTGTCGAATCAAAGTTTCAACTTTGCAATAATGAAAATAAAGTAAGTTTTTAAAATCAATGAATATCTACTTTAAAAATGTGTTTCTTTGACTTATCAAGCTAGGTCAGTCGGGAATGAGCTCTATATGGCTTGTATTAAATTGATAAGGGTCCTTAGTTTAAGTTATTGTAATCAATACAATGTCATACTATGAAGCGATGTTGCCACCCTTCCTTACGTGTATTAAATTGATCAATTCATTCATTCATTTATTTCAGTCTTCATTATAAAGGGTAGCCCTATCAATTGCGATTTAAAAAAAAAAATCCATACACGTGCCCTGTCTGTACCATGTAGACGTTAATTTATTTAATTTAATATAATCTATTTTCATTTCTTAACATAAAATAAAATAACATAACATGAAAACATGTCCAGGGCATGTTTGATAATCAGTTTAAAATGAATAAAAATAAATCAAGGTACGAAATGGCTTGTATATAGAATTAACAATCAAGTATATTTTTCCATGATGTACGAAAAATTGCATTTCGATTAACTAATTTTTTTTTAACCAAACACGTGAACAAAGCAAGATAATTTTTATTTTATCCAAAGCCTCCCTTTCGCAAGACTTCGCTGAAGCTGATGCCCCTTCCCCCAAAAAAAATCTGCAAGAGCATCTTAACTCCGTGTAGCAGTGGGAATCAGACTGGCTGATGATATTCAATCTTAAGAAATGTCAGACCCCAATCAAACAAGACATACTCAATAACTCAATTCATTGTCAATCATTCGGATCGGTAGCTCTACCCCTCCCCCGAAGAGAAATGCACTTTACTCATATGGTAATGGAATCTATGAACCCACCTTCAACTTCATATCTTATAATTAAAATATGGTTAGAGTAGCTTTAAGAGGCGACACTATGCAAAGCATCCTATTAGTACTCGACATTACATCAACATGATGGCATGTAATTGGAGTGTGCAATGTCTTCGTGCTCTCATGTCGTGATGACAAGCAACAGACAGCTGACATTTCTTCATCTGCAGATTGTATTTCTTCCACTAGGGTTGAAGATGTGACAGATTGATGTGTGTCATTTTGAGACAACATGAAAGGTCTTTTGTTATAACGTGAACGCCGGTCGAAATAGGCGTAAATATACAATTCTGACTTGGGAGAGCAAACGTTATCAAAAGAACAAACAGTGAGCAAGGTTTTTTCCAGAATGAAATAGCAAACGAAGAATGGTATTTGACACTCCCTCCTAAACTTGGTAAAATGAGAATTTGACGCAGGTGGTAAGACATCCGGACCAGAAAATAAGATATTAATAAACCAGATACGAAGTAGTTTTGCTTTGAAAAAAATGTATAAAGTCATAACAGTTGCTAATTTTTGTAACATTTGTGAAGCTACAAAAAACTGTTAGATATTATACATCTATTTTGATACACGATTTACACAGCAAACTTATAACTGGTATTCTTTTGTGTATTCGGATTTTAAAAACCCTGATGTGAGATGAACACATAACAGAATGAACTGCAATCGATTGCTTATAGGCTAGCTTACATATTTAACTTGAAATGAACGAAGCGAACACACAAACACACACGCAAACACACACACACGCACATACAGATATGTGCACACACGTACACACACAAACGCATACAGATATGTGCACACACGTACACACACAAACGCACACACACACACACACACACAAATAAAGCGAGTGAGAAATTATCCAACTACGGAGAAGAATTTCGTGGGTGACGAAGTAATGTTCAATCTAAAAGATCACAGATAGCATGGCTATCATGGCTATAGCACTGTAGCTTCATTTGATAAAACTTATTCCAAGAAACTGATCTGCTTGTATTAGTTAAGGTTAGAGTTTATGATGTTGCGTTGTTCTCGATCTCACAATTAGGGTCGGTTGAAAAGGCTCATTAGCTTACTTCGGTGAGATGGGACTTACGGAACGGATTCTGGAGATTGATGTAAGAACGATTTAAAGTTATAATTTATCATTATCCTTATCGGTCAAATATGAAAGACATTTGATATCCCCACAGAAGTAGAGATAAGGTGATTCTAAATGAATGTGTAAGGTGCCTCACGAAGGTGTGATTGATGTTCTTTTTGTGTCAGTTCTAAGGGCAATAAATCAAATCTATTCTGTATGTGATTTCCAATCATTATGATCATGAAAATAATATACCCCTCGAAAGTATGAAAACAAAAATGACAACGCATTTCTCCCCTAACACTCTCTTCAATCATGAGCGCTAATCACGCCGTTTTTTATTTCTTTATGGAAGAGGCAATGAAGCGAAAAGCAGATGAATATTGTATTTTGCTTGAGGCATTTTGTGATTAGATCGATCTTGCTAAGTATATATAATGCTTTCAATGGTCACTATTCGCATGCATAATAACACGAAGTTTGACAACACCTATTTACCAGCACTACATGAAAGCTTTGTGTGTGGGTTGGTGTATGCTTCTAAAGAATTTGGAATGATCTACTTTGTTTTCCCCACATCAAATATTCTGTCTCGAAATCCTTTGTATCTTAATGAGCATGATGTTCTCATTTCTTTTTCATCTATTTCCACGTCAAGATATAAAAGATATAATACAATCTTCAAAATACAAACCCATGTAATGAGATATCCCAAGTGGAAGGATCATGTAAATCACATAATTGGCTTGTTGAAAATGATCCTCACAAAATATACAAAATAACAATAACTTGGATACATAATTACATAAAATCAAGATTACAAAAAAGGGAAGACAAAGAAAATAGAGAAAAGAAAGAGGAAACATCATGGCATAAACATTGACATTATAAGTTATTAAATAAAAATAAAAAATAAATTGCTTATGCATGATATTTTTATCAAGCTAGTTTGAAAGAAATTTGAAGGAATACGATGTGGTCCATTTATTTTCTTGTTATTCAATGTAATCCAGCCCATGATTGAAATAAATAAATAGAAATGTATAGAAATGAATATACGATACAAGAATACTGAGCTCGAATTTGCAACGTCAGATTCCAGGTGTAGAAAATATTTTATTGTATATCAGTAGCTCATCCAGGACAAAAGAAACATCAGCACACACACACCAGAACATAACCGAACAAACAAAGAACCCTAAACAAACAAACAAACTCTAGGAGACAGACAGAGAATCAAAGAAGCAAACAAAAACAAAACTATAAGGGTCATGAGAATAACCGCGGTAACACGAGAGAGTGTAAATTTATGGAGAAAAGACGGGCCTCTCTATAAAGGGCCATGGCTATATCCTACGGCCTGAATTTCCATATCTAAGGGATAGGAAAACTATGAAATTTTAGGTTTTGGAATAGCTATAAATAACACTTTGGAATAAGTCCATATTAAAACAATAAATATTTGTAGGTGCTTTCGTTATGTTTTAAGTTATTATCTGAGGTCGGAACAGGGACCTTTACCATTGTGACAGGTATTTTGGATACAGATATCGGCCTCTCACTAGTCACTTATATCACTCAGAGAATGATTCAATGACATGTTTATATGTGCTATAATATCACTCTAACGTCAATGGCATTAACTTGCAAGATTGTGTAAGGAGATGCTTGCATACCGACACGTTCACGACAAGGCCTACTCTAGTCTCTGGTCTAATAAGTATACCATCATCATGATCCATATACTTTAATTGGGGTCGGTGGTCTAGAATCCACCATCACCACTAGCTCTTGTTTGGTAGAGGTTAGTCATTTATCAACTTCGATTCCGGGGAGGAGGAATATGTTGTTTTTCCCCTCTTAACAGTCGCATATCAATCAGACCTCATCATTTAAGACCAAGATTTACCTTTACAAACGAATATTCGAGACGAATTTTAGATCTGGTGTCTGTCAAAGTCGGTTTGCAGTGGAAGACAGCGATCTATTCACTGCCAAGTGCCAAACCAACTTTTCCCCAATAATTATTTTGTCCTTTTTTGTTCCTCCTTACATTGTCCTGAATATGAATCTGCACCATAGATCAGATTTAGTCGGGTTACATGCTATAATTTAAACATATTAAATCAGTGAATGCTGTTGATAGGGAATAACATGTGCTGATAAATATTTAAGAAAACTGTGTTGTTGTAGGCCTATGTTTCATGATGTATTATTGTCTGCGACATGACATTCCGAAGTTAACGATAAATGTGCATCGTCCATCAGATTTTCTTGTCGCCCAGGACAAAATAATATAATATGCACAAACCAATGATCCTAATTCTTGACATAATCATATCTCCAAGCCTACTTATATGATTTGCACTTTTAATATGGGATGTTCTTACACATAGTTATTAGCGAGAATAAAATGTTTGAAAGTTGACGGTTTAAATCGCGTACAATCGTTTGGGTTATTCGTAGTGCAGTATATTTTTACGTGTTTTCAGTTTTCACAATTTTCATCGATGAAAAGATTAATGACCAACCATACACGCACGAACAACCAAACAGGGAGAGAGAGAGAGAGTGAGTAGATGTAGTAGTAGTAGTAGTAGTAGTAGTAGAGGAAGAAGAAGAAGAAGAAGAAGAAGAAGAAGAAGAAGAAGAAGAAGAAAAAGAAGAAGAAATGAAGATTAGGAAACAAAACGATGTTTTACTGTACATCAAAATATGCCTAACCAAACCAACAAGTTATATAAAATAATTAAAGTGATAATCATAATTACACCCACAGCAAATTACCGCCACGCTTTCTTGTCCGCAAGATAAAATTTTGTTTCTGACTATCATATATTTTAAAACAATGTTATCATGAGTGACATGTGGAAAAAAGATGTCTTTAAAAGGAGGTTCAAAAGGAAAAATTTGTAAAAAATGATGTACAAAATAGGATATATATTTCAGTACTAGGATAGATGGTAAAGCATTCATACAAATTTGTCTGCTCTGGCGATTGATAGGAATATATCGTCACACAATCTGTTATAGGGGTGGCGGAATGTTTTCCATAAGTTGAGGGTCAACGACCAAACATTAAAAAATCATGAGATGGGAATATATAACATTGATAAAAATGCAATATTAAAAAATCATTAGATGGGAATATAAAACCATCATGAAAATGCAACATTCCAAGAGCACGAGATGGGAAAACATAACCATTATAAAAATGTCAGACATAGAACAAACTACTATTAAAAGTTCAAGATAAAAGAATTATTTTATACTGTCTAAGGCACATTACCGATTATTTCTCATTGGCGTATTATGTGTCATCGTTAAACTGATAACAGAAGAAAAAAAATTTTGATGTCAAATAGTACTGAATAATCGGTATTTCTACCTTGGCTTTATTCTACTTCTATTCTGCTACTTGTCAAAGCCTGTTCAGCATCTAGACAAGGGTGATCTTCTGCCGACGGTGGACGGCTTGTGTGAATTTGTGCCTAATTATATACATGTTTATGGTGCAAGTAAAAATGATAAAAATTACGATGATGCTGTGACTATTCGCAGCTGATGGCTTCCTTGAACTGCTTCAATGTGGGCAGCTCAATGATATTCGTAGGAAGCTCATCCCAGTCTTTCATGGTGCGAGGAAAGAAGCTGTATTTGTAAGAATCGGAGGATGTACCAAGTCTGGTGAAACGAAGATGATGTTGACTTCTTGTAGCTCTGCCTTTCTGTTTGCCCTTTACGCTGTTACATTATTACAATTGAGTCATTATAACAACCAGTAAATACATAAATAAATTCAATTCAATAAATGAATTTAATTCAGTATTATCACTAGCCTATAAATCCATTTTCTATTGATGAATGAGTCTAAGTTTTTCCTCCATAGTTCATAAAAAGCCGGGATGATTTACATTAGACTACACTGAGCAAATTGATTGTGAATCCATTCAATGTGTGTGTTTCTATACTCCAGGTCCACCAGTAGAGGTAAGAGTAGGTCTGTACATCGAGAGTCTCGGTGCGATTAAAGAGAGCACTATGGTATGTATGATTGTAGATGGATCGGAATGTGGGATTTTCACTGCGCTCACAATTATTTGAATGATACAAATCATCAGCATTATGCATTTATTGATTATTTTCTAGTTCATTTTATCGCAGGAAGACCGATTCAATTTTCCATTCAGGCAATTTTGTCTCCTCCCAATTTTCCAAAAGATAAATTCAATTTCAAAACAGTACAACGTAGATGAGCACGTGACAGTCCTTGCTATACATTACCTATCAGTAACAAGCATAATCCTGATCTCAGAGAAAGTTATTGCTACATTCTTTCACTAGCCCACGGCACTCTCTCTAGCCTATGCTTTCACCATACGTTAATAATAAAGGCGCCGACCTGGAAGTAGCAATGACAGATTGCAGTAAATGATGTTGAATTTTAGGTCTCATAACTAACAGAGACACAGGATGATGAGAAGGCATAGATACAGTGTTCGAGCAGAATGATGCATCATACATAATTATGTGATGTACAAGACAGTATTTGATCTAGTCTAGTATAAAGCGAGATTCACTGTTCTTTTAATTAGCCGATAGTGATGAGTGATTTCTAATAAAAAAGCTGCGACCGTTGTGTCTACGTAAATATTTAAATTTTTAGTGTTCTCCCATTTACCTGCCAAGTAATATTTCATTTGACTTTTCTCCCACTTCCTATGTTGCCAATTATTTTGACTGATATTCAATTAAATACGCGTAGCTGCAGAGGGCATATGCTCGTCCAAAGAAGTGGTGACGAATAAGAGAAGAAGAAGAAGAAGAAGAAGAAGAAGAAGAGAGAGAGATACAGAGAAAATAAAAGGCGAAGGAAAATAGATGCAAAAATGAGATAATGGGACCCTACCTCCTGCGTTCTTCCCCTGATCAATATTTAATTCACATTTCATCAATTAGTAAGATCGAAATACTCAATTTTCATAATCCCAATATGTTCATAACAATTATAGAATATTTAAAGGCAACCTTATATTTGAAAGCTATTTACTCACCCTAAATAAAAACTGATGCTAGTACTCTCTGTAAGTTTCGGTGTAAATCACATAAATTACCTGTAAACAAAGGTTGATTTGATGCAAACACACCACATTGTGATATGCAGTGCACACTCTGCCTGTCCACTGATATAGGAGATGAATTTCACTATATTTTTGTTTTGTCCATATTTTCAAAGAGAGAGATGTTTATATTTATCAAAAAAGTTTTGTAAGTCTAAGCTCCCAAGTGCTATGCACATGACAGAATTTTTTAATACCAAAAGCACTTCTCAGTTGAAGAATTTAGCGAGATTTACTCGCCTTATTATTTTGAAATTTTATCTAAAAACAGAGAAAGAAGATAGTTCAAGCATTTCAAGAAGTACAATTAGAGCTGAACCTACACATACTCGTAGCGGTAGGATAGTGAAACAGCCTACGTTGTTTACTATTTAGCTTGTAAATAGACAGCATTATACTTATACTTATACTTTATTGTCACCATTTATCATTATTGTCACTATCTACACTGTACATGTATATATACTTTGTGTTTACTAGTTGGTTCATTTGTTATGTTTGTACTTTCATACACTATATACCTATTGTCGTTTGTATATTGTGTCATTATCTATGTATAATATATGATAATTGTATTCATAAGTCATGCATTGCTATTTATACTTTAGGTTTGTTTGTAGTCTCATACCCCGAGAGGAGGTCAAAGAGTCAATAAAATTCTAAATAACAATATACAAGAATATTCTGAATTCACGGACTTGTCATTTGCTGCTTCCTCAAATAGGCCTATGCGCTTCCTAAACAAAAATGCATTTGTTTGTTTGTTTTTGCAAGGATTTTCGTTTGACAATGTACTTCCGAGAGAAATGGAACGATCCTCGCCTTGCCTTCAATAAGACCTATGAAAGGATATATGGGGCTGACGCGGGCAACATCTTTTGGACCCCTGACCTATTCTTCCTTTATGAGAAGAGTGGACATCGACATGATTTAACTGTTCCTAACATAGTAACGACAATACAGCCAGATGGAACTGTTTTTCGAAGTTCAAGGTGAGACTGAATCAATGCACGCGAATATTAATGGGCTTTTAAGTCAGTATTATCTACACTGTACTAGAGTTGGTGAAGAGATCGATGCATGAGGGAGGCAGAGAGGGAGAGAGGGAGTGACAGACAGAGAAAGAGAGAGAGAGAGAGAAAAAAAGGGGGGGGGGGTGGTTAAAGGAAGACGAAAGATAAAGCATGAATATGCGGTGTCATCTGGAATCTTTTTAAAACCTGATCAAGTTTTCCTTACAAAATTAATGATGCCCAAACCGTTATGATAAAGTAATGATGTAATATTGTACAATGATAGCAGTCCGAATTGAAATCTTGTCATGTGTATCGTAAACCTCAACTATTGCCAAGGAGCGTTCATCTGTGCAATGACTCACTTTTTCTTTCACTATTTATTGGGAATGTAGCTGTACTTAAATTGTGTATTTGTCGTTCTTTTGGGGCTTTCCTGTAACATTTTTTCTTTACATTGGGTTGTAATATCACAATGTACCTTAGTTTCATAGTTTCAACTTTCCTAATTTTATCATCATTAATAACAACAATGAAAGCGTCCCACCACTATTATCCATTAACGAATTAAAAAAAAAGTCTAATAGGCAGAAAGATATTGTCATATAAGGGATGCATCATTCATTTTGTTTAAATGATCGCAAACTTTTTAATTTATTTATTAAAATTAATAACCGAATGTCTAACATTAATTGTTAATTTTGCATGAATAAATAGACTTCTTGCTTTAAGAATTTCTCAATCGTCATATATTTCATATATTATTTGGTGAAAACACTCTGATTTTAATACCTTTCAATTGTTGTTAAAGTTCAAGAAAAATAATATTGCTTAAGCTCATAATGTCAGAGTAGCTACTTCAAAGTCAAAGTGTTAGACACTGCCTAAAAAGGTGATTATTCAAAAATGACAATGATATCGCATCAGGAAGAATAATTCAACTGGACAATCGTTCTGAATTGATGTACGATTTTTGCTATAGAAATACGAAAAATTGGCCGTAACTGTCTATATATTTAAATATTTCACTCAGTGTGTGTGCTTGTGTGGATAAATCTTGTAATCTGCACTGGGTGCGTTGTATGAGAACACAGAATGAATGCATGGTTTAGATGTAGAGTATGGATTTAGCCGAAAATAGTGTCATCTCCTTGTCTAATAACACCTACTTTTCTGCTTTCTTATCAGGATCAGTTTAACTTCCGCTTGCTACATGGACCTACAGCGTTTTCCATTCGATCGCCAGAGATGTTCACTAAACATTATGAGCTGTATGTATACACATAAAGCGATATTCACTTATATATATATATATATATATAATTATGAGAATCGCATTTGACCATCTTCACCTGTTTTGACAGACACAATATAGGAGCTCGCTAGGTTGCGATGTTTTGAAAGACACAATATATGAGCTCGCTAGGTTGCGATTTTTGTAAGACACAATATAGGAACTCGCTAGGTTGAGATGTTTTGAAAGACACAATATAGGAGCTCGCTAGGTTTCGATGTTTTGAAAGACACAGCTCGCTAGGTTGCGATGTTTTGAAAGACACAATATAGGAGCTCGCTAGGTTTCGATGTTTTGAAAGACACAATATAGGAGCTCGCTAGGTTGAGATGTTTTGAAAGACACAATACAGTGCGTCCCAGATAAAACGAAACCGAGAATTATCGATGTTTTATCATAACTTAATCACAATTATAATTAATAAATGACACATATTGGGAAATCTTAGATCCTCCTCTTTCATTTGATGCAACTCATAATAATGCATATTTCACGCATTAGTAATTAAAATCAATGTGAAGATTCAATTCAATTCAAAAGACTTTATTTCCGTTAAAAAACAAATAAACATATACATGTGATAGAGTACAGACAGTTTAAAATATACAAATCATGAGCATTATGTTAAATTAATTTAAACAAACTGTGAAAATGAGTAGAAGGAAAAGGGAGCACCTGCAGGAAGCTTATGTTAGCTTGTTGATTCAGGCGTCCAAATGAATAAAATAATTACACAGATATAATAACATAATAATGAGTATTGCGCATGGATTTGTCCTGCACCTCTTCTGAGAGAACTCCACTGGTTGCCAGTCCGCCAAAGAATCTCATTCAAAATATTGTTAATTGTCTATAAATCATTGAGTGGTCAAGCCCCTAATTACATCACAGAATTACTTCAACTCAAAGTCCAGTCACACAGTCGTAGCCTGCGCAGATCCACAGATAAATTATTGTTTCAGATTCCCCATGCCAAAACTATAGTAACTCTTGGGGACCGTGCTTTTGCTATTACTGCCCCCAAACTATGGAATAGCTTGTCAATAGAAATACGAAGCACTCCATCTCTCAATATTTTCAAATCCAATTTATAAACTTATTTGTTGAACTGAGAGATCTGATGTTGTAGAATTTAGTAAAAAGGAGCTCTTAACCAGCGCAGCTGGATATATTTTGTATAAAAGCTGCGCTTTATAAATGTATTATTATTATTATTATTATTATTCTACCCCTCCCTCCCTTCCCACCCCTACCCCCCCCCCCACCACCACCTCCCCCACCCCTTCTTTCTCTCTTATGGTAATTTACAGATTATATTTTATTTTGAAATAGGTCTTAAACTAAAACAAATTAAAGGGATAATAGATATATTTTAAGATTTTTTTTTGAATGAGTTTAAGTAAACATATTGTGTGAGAGAGGATGGAAGAAATTTCCATACTGTGGGCCCTGTATATCTTACCGATTGTTGCATGTACTGTTTATCAATATTCCAAATGTGTAACTTTAGACTATTTCGAGTATTATATTTATGAATTTTAGAGTTAGTTTGGAACATAGTGGCAAGAGATGATGGTGCATTACCTTTAATACATTTGTATACAAACACAGCATTTTTATATTTATTTAGGCTATAAATATTGAGGGTATTTAACTGTCTAAATAATGGTTTAGAATGGGCCAAATAATGAGAGTTTGTACAATATCGTAGACAACGCTTCTGAATTAAAAATAAGGGTTTCAACTTAGAAGGACTTGTCTTTGCCCACACGATGTTACCATATGACAAATAAGAGAGAATGAGTGAATTATAAATCATAAAAAATACATTTCCTGGTAAATAATATTTCAGCTTTGACAATAATCCTGTAGTTTTACTAGTCTTTGTAGAGATTGTGGCAATATGGGATTTCCATGACAGTGTTTCATCTATGACAATACCTAAAAATTGAATATTTGAGACTTTTTCAATAATTGTTTGATCAATATTTAATAGTGGATTTTTCAATTCTCTTTTGTTGCACTGAGCTGTTCTAAAAAGAATACATTTGGTTTTGTCTAAATTAAGCGATAGTTTATTTACCTTTAACCACAGAGATACATTCTTCATGTGTTCATTAAACTGGTCTACCAGTGAGTATAAGTTATTATGGCTTAAGAACAAAGAAGTGTCATCAGCAAACTGTACAAATTTTAAGGAATGAGAAGAGTTGCATATGTCATTTATATATAAAAGTAAAAATAGGGGCCCTAAATTTGACCCGTGTGTAATTCCAGATTTAATCAATAATTTGGTAGAACTGTATCCATTATATTCAGTAAATTGGTACCTTTGTGAAAAATAACTCTTAATCCAATTCAACGCAATACCTCTGATACCATAATTAACTAATTTTTCAAAGAGAATGGAAAAATCAATGGTATCAAACGCCTTACTCAGGTCCATAAAGACACCAAATATAAACTGTTTTGAATACAAGGCATTAACAATGATATCATGAACAGATATTACAGCATGGTCAGTAGAATAATGGGTTCGAAATCCAAATTGATTATCATGTAATATATGGTGTTGAGATACAAAATTGTATATACGAACATAGACTAATCTCTCCATGATTTTCGAGAAGCATGACAAAAGTGATATAGGACGATAATTACCAATAGTGTGCTTATCCCCCTTTTTAAAGATTGGGATAATTTTGGATACTTTTAGTTGTGAGGGTACTATTCCCATTTTAAGGGAGAGATTCAAAACATAAGCTAAAGGTTTTGTAATAACATATCTGACATACTTGACAATATCTTGACTAATATCGTCCCATCCACACGACTTTCCATTTTTAAAAGAGTACATTATTTTCAAAATTTCATCGTCATTAATAGGTTTTAGAAATAAACTTTCCTTTATCGGAGGTATCATAAAAGAGGAGGAATTTAAATCTTTACAAGTAGTTGCATCAATGGAAGAAGCTTTTGGTCCAATATTGTTAAAATAATCGTTAAAAACACTGGATATCAATTGCGGATCATTTAGTGTTCTTCCTTCGTGTATAAAGTGTTGTAGTAAGATGGGTTTTCGTTTTTAAAATATATTATTAATCAATCGCCAAGTTTTCTTGAGGTCAGTTCTACAATCATTAAACCTTTGATAAAAATACATTCTTTTTGCCTTTCTCAATTCAGATGACACTTTGTTTATAATCTTCTTATATTTGTCTTCATTTTCATATGTAGGATTACAACAAAACCTTTTATAAAGTTTGTTCTTCAATCTTATTTTTGTCAACAAGTTTAATGATACCCATATTTTTGTTATTATTTTTCTTATTACTCCTAACAAAAATGAAAGATTCATTATAATGCCTTTGAAAGTTGGAGAAAAAAAATTCATAGGCAACATTGGGATCTTTACTTCTATAAACATCTGTCATTCTTCAGAAGATAACTTGCAGAAAAATGACTTCTGTGTGTTATCATTGATTTGTCTTATTTTCTTTCCCTTATCATACTCATAACATGTTTGAGCATTATTTAGTATTACAAAAACTGGCAAGTGGTCTGATACTTCAGAGTATATGATACCAGCATTTAAATTTGAAGTATAAGAATTAATAACAATATTGTCTATAAGTGATGCAGTAGTTTGTGTAAGTCTGGTTGGTTTATTGATCATAGGTGTTAAACCATTAGCATATACGTTGTTCAAAAAAAGTATTAATCTTTGTATTACTAGAGGACTTCAGGAGGTCTAAATTGAAGTCACCCATTTTATATAGATGCTAATTCTCTTTAGTTAAACATTGTAAAATATCATCAAAATAGGTATTAAAGTCAACTACACTTGAGCTCGGTGGCCTATATACAGTGCGTCCCAGAAAAAACGAAACCGAGAAGTATCGATGTTCTATCATAACTTAATCACAACTATAATTAATGAATGATACATATTTGGAAAGCTTAGAGTCTCCTCTTTCATGTGATGCTACTCAGATAATATTTCACGCATGAGTGATTAAAAGCAATTTGAAGGAAGGAAACCAAAAAGACATTTGGCGGGCGGTATCTGAATTTCGAAGAAAAATTCACATTTCTAGAAAGTTGAGTTTCTTCCCTTTCATATGACACCTCAATCAGGAAAAATGAGCGAGGAATGACAAAGTTCTGTTTGTTTAAAGTAGTGCTTGCATTTCTATAATTGTATTAAACGAATTCGTTTTCACCCCAATAAACAAAATCACGTAAAAATCACGTCAATATCAAGGTATCGACTTGAGGAGAGTTACGTTCTTCAAACACCGGACATTTACGTAAATGTGTTAATACGTTTATTGCACTAGGTAACCTAAAACACACGTACACTAAATCACGCAATTGTCACTGCAATATCACCATTATAATAACGTGATTATCCCTACCTTGGAAACCATGGTTTGTAAACCAAATACTCCCGTGTTTGTTTGGTTATGAAATTACATCTTCATAAACGAAATTATCGCGTCCCAGAAACACGTGAAGCGTTAGTGATAGTTTTAGTCAAAATGTCTGCGTGAAATTCACGTGAATATTACGAGGCTGACTTGGGATGAATCACGTTCTTCATTAACGTGAAATTTACGTCGAAGACGAAATATGTTACTGTAACCCGCGTTCAACCCAATAATTACTCAAATGTTACACAATAAATTAACCAAAATACTGACGTCCTCATCCCGTTTCTGAACATCGTGTCTTGGATCTTCCATAATTACGTCCAGGCGCGCCGGAAGCAGTTTGGGATTAGAGGGGGTGGGGGGGGGGGGGGGAGGGGGGGGGGGGTGGTGGGTGCAAACATCCCAGAAGAGAAAGCAAGGTGCAACTGGTCCAGTTGATGAACCAGTTAATGCCAACTGGTAACCATGGAAATTGAAATGGGCTAAATGATCCAGTTGATCCAGGCCAGTTAGAATTCAACTGGTCTGGCTGAGCCATTAGAAC